AATCCTGGTCACTAAAATCTGCTCCAGTGCTCAACATCTTCTCTGTCAATATCTATCCCAAGCCCCTCCTGACCACAGGTCCCTCATTGGTAGAGAAAGAGACTGAATGACCTGTCTAGAGCTCGAAAAAGGCCCCTCACCAAACCACCACTCACATCAAAAGCTAACATTCCCTCGCCCAGTGTCGAGAAGATGTGCTCCTGGGCACGCCTACCTACCCTAATGAGCCGCCTCCACTGTTTACTATCAGGTGTGGTGGTCGTCGCCCTGCATGGATGACAGGCACCTATAGGGCAGTACTTTCCACGAAGGTATTTAGCCCAAAGCGACTTACCCTCCCTGAATCACCACCACATCTAGTATGACAAGAAGGTGAATATATCCGATAGGCGACAAATCCCAATGCCACCTTCGGCGGCAAACGGAATCCCACTTCACTCAGTGGACCTGTCTCCCCCTCCGGGAGCCAACCCCATGCCCCCCTAAAATAATGAGCCACATGTGCTTATCATTTTCAACCTCCTTTAGAGTACGAGCGATATTGCAAGGTCTATTTTTATTTTTTTTGGGGCAGTATACTATAAACTTTTTCTCCAGGGTTCTATTCAATACGCATAAAGTGTACTAGTATAATTTATTAGTTAAGACAAACTAACTCAAATTACATAAGAAATATACCATAGATTTGTCTGCTATCTCGGTTATTAACATTATCTATATTACACAAAGAACCAATAATATAATCTTCTGTGCACTGACGTCACACTATAATTACGTTGAATGTGAATAACAGAACATGAAGGAACTCAATACGTAAAGTAAATTGCATAACTATTGGCCAAACATGATTCTTTTATTTCCGAAAATGAAAATAAGTTCAAACGAAGAAATGCTTTCAGTATACAAACCATTAATAATTACCTGAATGAGCACTTAAATTGGATCCTTTAATAACCTGTAAACACATTACAATTACCTTTATAACCTGCAAACACATTAAGTGATATAGCCGAGCCATACACGTAACCCAATAGAAAAGAAAGGCATGGACGATGAGGATATTCATGTCCTGATAGATATTCATTCATCGACTGGATTACTGAACTTCATTCTTTTAATTCCAATGGATAACCTCCAAGCATCAAGCACGCGATCAGGCAGCATTGAGGCGAAGAACCACTGGAGAGAGTGGGCCCAGTAAGGGCTACACCTTGCTTCATCCTGCCCTATCCACTTAACTGCTGCTTCAACATACTTCTCTGCTGTTGGTATGAACATTGTTGACTTCTCAACATATGCAACTTGTGATGCCATCCTTGTTGATACATATAATGGTACCTATAATAACTTGTTGATTTTAATAAATTTACTGTATGTGAAGAACGTATGATTAATTAGGTGCGCAGAAATGGAGAGATTTTCTACATATTTTCACTCGAAGTCGTGGAATCAGATGAGCCTATATATACTGACAGGCTCATGCACAAACATAAACGACATCGCTTACATATGCTACTGATTATGCATAAAACGTCGCCGTCCTACTTAATGAAAAACGTGAAACAGGAAAACAAACATAGAAAATAAAGAAATATAATAGCTTTCATTGAAACTAAAATAAAAGAAATAGAAAAGAGGAATGCACCAGTACTCAAGGTGATGCTAATGGTTCGATTCCCACTTGTATGACTGACTTTTT